AACTCAAAGTTCAGGACCAAGTGTCCTTAACTTTTGAACTTGAAACTTGAAGTTCAGGACCATGAATCCTTAACTTTTGAGCTTGGAACTCAAACTTCAGGACCATTCGTCCTTAACTTTTGAACTTGAAATTTAAAGTTAAGGACCAAGTGTCCTTAACTTTGAACCTGGAAATCAAAGTTAAGGACCAAGTGTCCTTAACTTTTGAGCTTGGAACTCAAACTTCAGGACCATTCGTCCTGAACTTTTGAACTTGGAAATCAAATTTAAGGACCAAGTGTCCTTAACTTTTTAACTTGTAACTTGAAGTTTAGGGCTACCTGTCCTTAACTTTTTAACTTAATTTCTTTCACAAAATTTAAAGAAAGACCTAGTATCAAAGATTGATACTTTGTTGAAGATTCTTGTCAAACCTGATGAAAGGAACATAGAGAGAGAATCTACTATTCCAAGTAGTAAAGATGCAGTTGATACAAAACCTACTGTTCCAATTAGCAAAGATGCAGGTGATGATCAATGTGATGATACAGATGTGCATGCATAAGATCATTATGAAAGCGATTATAGGGATGCACATCTAGAAGATGAAACTGATATTGGCACTGAAATTGGCAAAGGTTAGATATAGATTTTGAATTCGTTGTCATTGAAATTTATATTCAATAGCGTAATATATATATAAAAAATTGTGATTACAAATATATGTAAAATCTATTGATGGAGTGGAAGTTCAAGATGTAGTAGAATTTCAAGACCAGGAAAATCCAAAAGAGATAGGAGTAACATAAACAATTTGTAAATGTGGAGTGTAATCTCAGGATTTGGAAAATCCATTGGGAACAAGTGTAAGTGAGATTGTATGCAAATGTGTTGAAGGAATATATGATCTCTCTACACCTCTCTCACTTAAAGAGAAATTTAGAATTCAAAATGATGCCAATCAAGGTTAGATGGAATTTTCATGATATGTTGAATGTAGTTTTAGTAAACTATTAGTAAAGGGTAGTAATTGTAAATGTTACAAAATCTTTTGACGCTGCAAAGGAAGAAGATGGAGTGGACTATCAAGAGAGAAGTGGAGGACAATATCAAGACTTAGAAAAAATCCAAGGAACAAGCATAAGTGAGATTATTTGCAAATGTATAGAAGGAACATATGATCTCTCTACACCTCACTCTCTTACCGACAATATTGGAAGCGAAGAAAATGCTAGTGAAGATAATGATTTAACTGGCATTATCTTGACAATTGCAAAAGGTTAGACAGAGTTTTTTTAAATTTTATACATGTTTGTTTTAATCAAAGATTAGTAACAATTACTAATTGTGTTAACTCTTGTAAATATTTTGCAGAATCTTGTGAACTAGCAATCGAAGATCATGGAGAACAGTTGCAAGATAAAGAAAATGCACAGTTGCAAGATAAAGAAAATGCAACCAATATGTCAGCTCAATTGTCTGTTGAAAAAGTACAAGAATGTAGCGTGGACGACACAAGTATTGATTGTGTCCTAAATATTATATTCATAATTGAAATTGCCAGTACATTTCAAAAATTATGTCCTTAGTTTTTGTCTCTTCATTTGACAATTCGTTGTAAAATTTACGACTTGCTGCAAACTAATGTATATATAGTGTTGTCTGCAGAGCAAAACAAAAATGAAGCCCTTAACCAATATACTAGGAAAAGGAAGAGAGATAGTTTTAATGGTCCATCATTTTCTATTCTTACTCCTACTCCTCCAACTACACAAAGTAGCATTGTTGAGGGTTTGTCTATGGAGGGTGAAGGATATGTTGAAGAAGATCTTGATCTAGGGAAAAGGAATAAGAAGCATAGTTGGAAATTGAAATCTCCTTTTGAACAGGAAAGAAAAACAGGAACATCGATAGCGCACAATGAAAATACTCCCAAGAATACGGGCTGGATAAAATCAAAATATACTCGTAAATGTATTTTTCATTATGCCAAATATGATGCAAACTTATTGAAGAAATTCATTGGGTGGATGGGCAAGGAGAAAAGGAAAGGTCGCAAAAAAGTGTAAGTCCCTAAATGTATTTCATTATTTGTTAATTGTCCTTAACTTTTGAGATTGCAAGTCTAATTTCAGGACCAAGTGTCCTTAACTTTTGAACTTGGAACTCAAAGTTAAGGACCAAGTGTCCTTAACTTTTGAACATGTAAGTCTAAGTTCAGGACCTTGTGTCCTTAACTTTTGAACTTGTAACTGTAAGTTCAGGACCAAGTGTCCTTAAGTTTTGAACTTGCAACTCAAAGTTCAGGACCAAGTGTCCTTAAGTTTTGAACTTGGAACTCAAAGTTCAGGACCAAGTGTCCTTAAGTTTTGAACTTGTAAGTCTAAGTTCAGGACCATGTGTCCTTAAGTTTTGAACTTGAAACTTGAAGTTCAGGACCAAGTGTCCTTAACTTTTGAACTTGGAACTCAAAGTTCAGGACCAAGTGTCCTTAACTTTTGAATTTCAAGTTAAGGACCAAGTGTCCTTAACTTTTGAACTTGTAACTCAAACTTCAGGACCAAGTGTCCTTAACTTTTGAACTTATAACTGTAAGTTAAGGAATGCCTGTCCTTAACTTTTGAGCTTCTTAGCCTAAGTTCAGGACCTATTGTCCTCAACTTTTGAGCTTCTTAGCTTAAGTTCAAGACTAAATGTCCTTAATTAGGAAATGAGGACTAACTTCTAACTTTGATATTTTCAAAATTTTCAGGGGAGAAACTGATATATATGCTGACGATAATGGTGTGAAAAAGAATCCATATAAAATGTACCATAAAAAAATCAGTAGAAAAATGTTCTTCCTTGAGCTTTCAGATAGTAGCTTTGTACTTGATGATAAGGTTTGATAATTCGCAAGGCATTTATTTTCTTTATTCTTAATTTATTATTTTTTAGTTATTTATGACTGATGGATTTGTTTTATTTTTTTGGCTTTTTATGAAGCATATTGACATTGCCCTGTATTATTTGAGAAAGAAGGAATGCTACCACCCTCGCGCCCATCCTTTTTGTTGCACAACTACAGATATACTTTTTGATAACTATATGGTACTTGTATATAAGAATTTCAATGAAGATGCTACATATGAGTTTTGGTGTGGTGATAATCAATTGTTTCTGACACCATATGTGTTGAGTGACAATCGTAGATGTGGAATTGCTTGGACAGAGGTTGACAAAATCTTTTTTCCATGTCGGCTTCCTTTAGAAGATGATGATGCTGTGACACATTTTCTTTTGGGGGTATTGGGCTTGAACGAGAAAAAGATTGATGTGTACGATTCCATATATAGTGAGCCATATGAGGCAGGAATGAATCACATTGAAATGTATGCACGCATGATCCCCCACTTGCTAAAGTTCTCACAGTTTGAGAAAAATCACAAGTCTTTTGGAAATGCATTCAACAAATTTGATATTCAGTGGCAAAGATCACCACACCAAACTGGATCGTACGTGTTGTCATTTGATATATAATTTATATGTACTTTAGATTTATTTTACTAAAGATATTGTTTAATTGACTCCATATGCTACATTTTTTAGGACTGATTGTGGTGCATTCCTTATCAAGTATGTAGAGTTGTTGGTGATGGGAAAGGATGTGGAGAAAGTCCAACCTGAAGACATAACAAAATTTAGAAAAGAACTTGCAGCAAATCTTTGGGCACATGGAGAGTGGAAAAGAAATTCTGGTTATGATACACCACCAGAAAATGTCAGCGACGACTATTATAGTGAAAATGAAACTTCCTGCCCAAAGGAGCTGTAGTTTAGTTGTAAAGAAACTTAGCTATAGTTGATTTTTTGTATAAAATTGCTGTAAAGAATCCATATGAATTCTGAAATATCTTGTAAATTGTTCATAAGGCACTTTTATTTTGTTTGCATAGTATAATTTGGTCACAACTATGCCAAATTACAGTTTCAGAAGTAATATAAAGGCATCATGTTAATAATTTCTTTGTTTCTGTCAAGTATTGATTTGTCCATTTGCAATCCCTAAATTATGTGTATTGATCTTGTAAGTATTAGTTAAGGACCAAATGTTCTTAACTTTTTAACTTGTAAGTCTAAGTTCAGGACCATCTGTCCTTAACTTTTGAACTTGGAATTAAAAGTTAAGGACCACGTGTCCTTAACTTTTGAACTTGGAATTCAAAGTTCAGGACCGCGTGTCCTTAAGTTTTTAACTTGGAATTCAAAGTTCAGGACCAAATGTCCTTAACTTTTGAATTTGGAATTCAAAGTTCAGGATCAAGTGTCCTTAATTTTTGAACTTGGAATCCAAAGTTAAGGACAAAGTGTCCTCAACTTTTGAACTTGGAAATTAAAGTTAAGGACCAAGTGTCCTTAACCTTTGAGCTTGGAACTCAAACTTCAGGGCCAAGTATCCTTAACTTTTGAACTTGGATTCAAAGTTCAGGACCAAGTGTCCTTAACTTTTGAACTTGTAAATCAAAATTAAGGACCAAGTGTCCTTAACTTTTGAACTTGGAATTCAAAGTTAAGGACCAAGTGTCCTTAACTTTTGAACATGGAATTCAAAGTTAAGGACCAAGTGTACTTAACTTTTGAACTTGGAACTCAAACATCAGGACCAAGTGTCCTTAACTTTGTAACTTGGAATTCAAAGTTTAGGACCAAGTGTCCTTAACTTTTGAACTTGGAATTCAAAGTTAAGGACCAAATGTCCTTAACTATTGAACATGGAATTCAAAGTTAAGGATCAAGTTTTCTTAACTTTTGAGCTTGGAACTCAAACTTCAGGACCAAGTGTCCTTAACTTTTGAAATTGGAATTCAAAGTTCAGGACCAAGTGTCCTTAACTTTTAAACTTGCAACTCAAACGAAACAAAAAGCACTTAAGCGCAAAGAAAGTTTGAAACTCAGGACATCTGGTCAAATAAAACAATCTAAATGAATCCAATTTATAGCAAAAACTTAAAAGAGTAGATAAACATAAGTGGATATATCTACTATTCTCTATGCTTCCTTGAAAATGGATGGACCGCCGGAGAATATATACAAGCTGTTCTTTTATGGCCAATTCTTCTGCGACGACCACATTTGAATGTTATTTTGGATGACTCGGTAGCTGGAATATGCCTTTTCTTCTGCCTTCTACCTGGTGGCACTTTGAAATCTGGAGGTTTAATAATTTGTGACTTAACACTCTCTGGTACAACCCAAGAATCACTATGTTCTATAGGATGTATTTGTCTTTCATATGTTTTCAACCAAGATTCCTTTAAGTACCAGTGCGAGCAAAAGTTGGATTTCTTGATGTTTCTCTTCTCGATAGATGCAATTGCATGTATGCATGGTAATTCATCAAATTGAAACTGAAAACAATCACATGTCCTTTTGTTTAAGTCCACCAAGAAAGTAATTCCTTCTTCCTCAACTCTAGAATGCCATGAATCAACAGGGAAGACCTTCAATATTGAAAAATTATAAGTTAGTACATTATGTTAAATTATCATTAAAATATTAAGCTAAACAAAGAACATAATACTTACATTCAAAGTAAATGCTAAATCTGTCTTTTTCTTCAATTTTTCTTCTACCCAATAAGAAACGTCATAGAAAGTTTCTTCTGCTTCATTTCTTCTTTCATAAAACCAACGTTGTAGCTTTACTTGGATGAAATCCATCATTCTTAATATAGGCAACTCCCTTGCTTCTAATAGCACAAAATTCGTTGACTCAACTATGTTTGTTGTGAGCATGTCATATCTTCGTCGTGGACTACAAGAACGTGCCCACCTTTCCGGTGGTTCTTCCATCAAGTAGTCATAAGTCTTCTTATCTACTTTTGCTATATCTGACATGTATAGAACAAATTCTTTGTGCATGTATACTCTTGCAAAACTTTGGAAAACTTTTATGACCTCACTTTTCACTTTCCTTCGCTTTAGGTTCTGCTCCAAATGATAGATACAAATCCCATGGTGGCTTTCAGGATATAACTTTGCAATGCCATATGCAATAGATTGATGCCTGTCTGATAAAAAAATTAAATTCTCACGACTCCCAATTGCATTGCGAAGCTCACTAAAGTATCACTCACAGGAATTATTATTTTCAGATTCTGCAATTCCAAAGGCTAGTGGGAAGATTTGGTTATTTGCATCCTTTGAAACTGAAATCATTAAAACACCACAAGATTTTTAACTTCAAAAAAGTTGCATCAACAGCAATCACTGGTCTACAATGATTCCAACCAGTTATTGATGATCCATGTGCATAAAACATATAAAGAAACCTGAAAATACAGTATAACAGAAGGTTAACAGAACTTAAGGACAGGTAGTCCTTAACTTAGACTACCAAGGTCATAAGTTTAGGACAACTAGTCCTAAACTTCAGGTTACAAGCCCAAAAGTTTAGGACATGTAATCCTGAAGTTAGACTAACAAGCTCAAAAGTTAGGGACACCTGGTCCTTAACTTAGAGTTACAAGTTAAAATGTTAAGGATATGTGGTCCTTAACTTAGAGTTACAAGTTTAAAAGTTAAGGACATGCAATCCTTAATTTTTTTTACTTGCAACTCTAAGTTAAGGACCAAGTGTCCTTAGCTTTTTCACTGCACGCATCAAAGTTAAGGACAACACGTCCTTAACTTTTTCACTGGTTAAGGACATCACGTCCTTAGCTTTTTCACTGCACACATCAGAGTTAAGGACAACACGTCCTTAACTTTTTCACTGGTTAAGGACAACATGTCCTTAATTTTTTAACTTGCAACTCTAAGTTAAGGACCAAGTGTCCTTAACTTTTTCACTGCACACATCAAAGTTAAGGACTGCACGTCCTTAACTTTTTCACTGCACACATCAAAGTTAAGGACATCACGTCCTTAACTTTTTTACTGGTTAAGGACAACATGTCCGATAGTTTATAAAACAGACTAATAATCTCTTTTTTGATTGTTTACCTGATGTTGTTGTCTATCTTTATGTTAGTATATGTTCCCAGGTTTTTACTTTTCATCATATACAAGTATGAAGACAATAATTCGTAATTCTCTTCAGGAGTTCCTCTTATTAAAGGTGAAGCACGTTGAATAGCACGCCACGCCTTGTAATACCCAATGTCTAGTCCATGCAATTTTTGCATTTCTGCCATGACAAAAGCTGGTGTAACTTCAAACCTTGGGTCTCGAAGATTGTCAACAATGTAACCACTAATCAACTTTGAAGTTGCATGCCTTTGATCCGCTTTCATAGTGTTAACTAAGCAGTTATGATTTTTCTCAATCTTTACTATCTTGAACAGTGTTGAATCTTTAACTCTGAAAGCACGCACACACCACCCACACCTATCATCATTGCATTTCAATGAATATCTTGTTGAGCTTGATCTAACAACCTTGAATTCAAAATGTCCTTTAATTGCTATATTCGAAAAACAGTTAATTATACTCTTCTTTTTGTCAAATATTGATCCCACTTTTATTTCATCCAACGAAGCATTTTCTCTTAATATCGTAGTTGGGGATTCTTTTTGTTTCGAATTTGAGCTTCGTCTAGTTAGTTGAATAGAGGGTTTTTCAGCAACTTCTTCACTTAACTGTGCACTCTCTAAGACTTGAATACGTAAAGCTTGTTCGTTGTCAATCTCTATAATGCTTTGTCCTTCTACTTGAATACAATCAAATGTTTGAAGCACCTCTTCAGTTATTGGTTGAGCTTCAACCAAATCTATTTCCATTATCTGTTGGTATTTGTTTTGATTGTCATGTTGATTTTCTCTGTTGACATGTTCAAAGGTGCTTGTAGATCCAAAAACTCTTTCCGAAACATCAACAATGAAACGACAACCCTTGAAGAGTGAATGACTTTTTAGTAACTCTATACATGTGAAGATCTAAATCTTTGGGTACAAGCATTCCCTCGCTTGTTCCCAGGTTGATATCAAACCATATCAATGCTTCAAACTTGTCTCTATCCAATTCAATAACTTCAAATACCTGTTTAATGAAATCTTCAAATCAAATTGCCTCAGGTACTAGAACAAGCTTTTATTTGATGATCAAGATACTTATAGTCTACAATCCATCTACCATTAAAAGCAACTATAATACATATTGTTTCCATCCTGCAAGTCAAGAGAATGGAAAATTCAGGACATATTTACAGAGCAATCCTTGTATAAATTAAGGACATGAACTGTAAGTTCAGGGCCAAGTTAAGGACCAAGTGTCCTTAACTTTTGAACTTGGAATTCAAAGTTAAGGACCAAGTGTCCATAACTTTTGAACTTGGAACTCAAACTTCAGGACCAAGTGTCCTTAACTTTTGAACTTGAAACTTGAAGTTCAGGACCATGCGTCCTTAACTTTTGAAATTGGAAATCAAAGTTAAGGACCAAGTGTCCTTAACTTTTGAACTTGAAACTTGAAGTTCAGGACCATGAATCCTTAACTTTTGAGCTTGGAAATCAAACTTCAGGACCATTCGTCCTTAACTTTTGAACTTGGAATTTAAAGTTAAGGACCAAGTGTCCTTAACTTTTGAAATTGAAAATCAAAGTTAAGGACCAAGTGTCCTTAACTTTTGAACTTGGAAATCAAAGTTAAGGACCAAGTGTCCTTAACTTTTGAACTTGAAACTTAAAGTTCAGGACCATGAATCCTTAACTTTTGAGCTTGGACCTCAAAAGTTAAGGAATCATGGTCCTGAGCTTTTGCAAAACCAGGACACTATTGTCACGCCCCAATCTCGGGAGGCGCGACCGGTGCTCAATCGAGTGAACCCAACTGAGCAAGCCTTATCAAACACTTTCTACCCATCTCAATATGAATAAGGAAGCCATGCTTTCATTTATTTAAACAATAGGAAAGATAGTACATTCAACACGGTTAGTTCATTTTATATCACAACCTTAAACCGTAGTTAAGTTTCCAAGATTCCATACAATTACACTTTAGAGAAGCGAGAGCTAGAATTACAACATAGTTCGTAGACCCATCCAACATCCGTACATAACCCACACATATGTCTATGGAGCCTCTAAGGATGCAAAAGACAAGTATGACAATGTCGGCAACAAGGCCCCGACTATACCTCAAAGTGGATATCTATAGCAAAAGATGTACAACATAACCCCTTTGAAGGAGAAAGGGGTTCACCAAGACTTTGAGAGGAGGATGCTCCGCTACGCGCGATCGGCACTATCCGCTATGGAGCCACCTACATTCATTTAAAAATGTAGCGCCTCCGGCAAAAAGGACGTTAGTACCATGGAATAGTACTAGTATGTATAACTAAACACCATCCAGTTAGAAAGAACAACCATACAAGAGTAAAAGAAATCATAAGGACAACAAAGCTTCAAATAAGCATCACATCAATAATATAAGAGATTCATATAGTTTTCACATAATTTCTGAAATTTTTGGTTGGGGCATTCCTTATCGTTGCATCATCATCCACATTACCACCGCTTCCTTGAGCGGAGTCCGATCACGGCCCGATCGGCGAAGCCGTCTTACCAAGACATTACTCTTATTTCATTCTCACTTTTCAGTTTCAGTTATCAATACATTACCACCATATGTGTATAACATGGCGTCCGATCACGGCTTGATCGGCTAAGCCGTCTCACCAAGACGTTACCCTTTTTCGTTAATCATCTCACTTCAATCTTTGGATTCACATGAATTAGTTTCTCGGCACTTGGGGCCACAATTACCACATTCCATAACTCACATTTCGCATTATTCCCATTTTCAACATTTACCTAGCCATTTAGGATCATAGGCACATACAAAAGCAATTTAAGTTATAAACATAGAAAGGAATTCATCTAGTTCGGCATATTAATCATAATGTAACCTTGACTTGACATTTAGGCATTTAGCACATAGCTCATGTTTTTCCACACATCCTCAATTTACAAAGAATAACACACTAAACACATGGAGAAGCACCTTCCACTTACATTTTCACAACATCAACTTATTTGACATAACAAGTACCACATCAATCGAATTCCGGGCTTACAACATTTGCACGACACCATTGAGGCTCAATTTCTAAAAGGAGGAGTTTTTAGCCATACATACCTTGTTTAAGCTTTCCTTAAGTTACTACGACGTTCCGGAAATTCTAGCAATCCCAATCTACTTTGAGACATAACAAAATTGAACACAAATTAGGAAGGTATTCATGGTTTCAGCTCATTTGAGCATTTTATCAAATACTAGTTGAGCATCTTGATTTCAAATCTCTTTTACAAGATTTCCTTCATTCCCCAACCCAATCTTTACTTATTTATGTTCAACAATCTTCCCACAAACCTAATTTGTACATGCATGTATACATAATACTATTACACCCAAGAATCATACCCCACTAACCCATCTTACAATCTCTACAATACCAACACAACCTAGGTTAGGCACCTATGGCTTCCAATCACCATCCCATGAGTTCTAACATAAATATCATACATAAATAATCACCATAGAGTAGTTAGAAATGATAGACATACCTCTTGTAGAAAGAATCTTGAGAATCCCCACTTGTAGTGTTCTTGATCAATTTAGGGATTTGAATGGGAATCTATGGATTTTCAAGATTAATCCTTGTTAATATAAGTGTTTAGGAGTAGTAATCAACTCAAAATACTCCAAAAACATTACCTTGGATCATAGGAGGAAAGTATGGGACGGATTCCCCTTGATAGAGCAAGCCCTAGCTAAAAAAAATGACTTAGAGACTCTCCATACCCGGTCTTGGGGTTTTTATAGGGCTGCTAGGCGCGCGATCGCGGTCAAACCGCGTCCGAGACGCGGTGGCCGCGCTCGTACCGCGCTCGGAGGCAGAAACTTTCAGTTTTCCCGCGGACGCGCCGTGGACGCGCGTCTGACACAGGTCTGGTAAAATGGTCATAACTTTCTGTATACACCCCCAAATGACAAATGGTTTGATGCGTTGGAAACTAGACTCAAAGAGCTTTAATTTGATAGGTTGTGCATCGCACAACACCTTATATAAATGGATATATGCTTGTCCAAAGTGAGGTCTTGTGCGTACTCATTTACAACTTTAGTCTATTATGAAATTTTCCAACTTGGCTTAGACTTAGGCCTCTCCTTAGACCCCAAATCACTTATAATATGACTTATACGCTTATTAACATATCCAATTGATATCCATTATATCATGAATCCTCATTTGCACACAAGATAAAATAATTAGTCTACCTTGGCACCACGAAATCTTAAATTACTTAGCAAAATTTTCTGGGGCTTTACAACTATGTCCTTAATATTCAGGATACCAAATCCTTAACATCATGTCCTCAATATTTATAGAATAATCACAGGGCGCGATGTCCTTAACGTTATCGATCCAGAAAAGCAAAAAAAATCAAATTCCTAGTAACGAAATAAAAATCAACAGAAACACACAAACGCATAACTTACTGTAATTTTATGTCGATTTTTGGACGAGAAGCTACTGTAATTTTGGACGATCACAGTCTCTGCTGCTGCTATAGTTTGAAATCGGAAGAGAAGCTACTGCAATTTTGGACGATCACAGTCTCTGCTGCTGCTTCGCAAGTTAGTTACGTGCTGCTGTTGCTGATCGTTAATAAGGAGCGTAGGTATAAGCTTATAACATAAGGGTAATTTCGTCCAGGCAGGTAAAAGTTTATTAAAGCAGTGGCTAAAGACTAAAGACAATTAAAATAGTGGCTTAAAAATAAAGACATGTGTTATTAATGGCTATCTGTGCACATCGCCATATTTTAAAGGTAAATTTATTCCACTTTAAAATAGTTCAGGGGATAAATAGGACCCCGCAAAGTTCTAAGTAATTAAAAATCCGATTATAGGTGAGGGTACATATGGCTTTTCACTATGTAGCCAAGGGTGGAAAAGCCCTCTCGCAATCGTCGTGGAACCCACTATGATGAATTATTGTTTATACCTTTGAAAACTCTGCATAATCCATGCGCGGGAATAATCTTTTAATTAAAAGTATTATTATTTGAGAGAAAAACCAAACACAAAAAGTCAATTGTTTTCTTTGATTGATTGAAGAAAAAATGAAAGCAATGTAGTCTTTGTCTTCACTCACCAGCATCTCCAATTGAAGTTATTGGTATTGTATACTCGTATTTAACAACTAATAGCGAAATCAAATCTTTTTCTATGAGAAATATTGAAATGTTTCTATATTGAGACGCCAACAAGAATTACTGTGCTGTATGTTTTTGAGGACATTTTTTTTAATTTTATTTTCTGTTCAAAATTGATGAAGCTTCTGTAAATTCAACTGAAAGCTTGACTTTTTATACCTG